GGGGTTGGTTCAGCCAGGGCAAAAGTATGAAGATGGCAGATGGTGTGTCACATGGGTGGAATAGCAAGTAGACCAACATGGCTAAAACGTATTTTTCATGGAAGGCCGTAATGTGTAAGAAGACTGGAAAGAAAAGGAAAGTCTAGACTGTAAAGAAATCTAAGTGCTAAATAGAAGAGCTTATTTGATCTTGGAAACAATATACTGAGTAAAAGAGTAACAGAGTAGTACTTGTACTTAGGAGAATATCCACTTGTGATATGAGAATAGACTGGAGTGGGTAGAGGTGTTAAGAAAGGCAATCAAATGTCAGGCTCCTTCAAAAGTTCAGCTGCTTACTGTTCTAGTCTGAACTAGGGTGGTAGCTGTGTGAGGTTTAAGAAAAGGCATAAGTAAGGTAACTCTCAGATTGTACAAGTGGTATCCTTGACAGAAAATGAATTTTCTAGAAGGTCAGATTAGGGGAGAAGATAACCAGTTTCCTTTTAAACATAGTGATTTGGAAATGATGACAGAATATGCAGATAGAATTTACTAGCAGGTAGCTAGCAATATGGGACTGGATTTCAGGAGAGAAAATTGGGAGATCTATCTTTCTGTGATATAGATAGAACAGTTGATCTGTCTCTCTGTAAGGTGACAGAAAGAAAGAAAGAAAGAAAGAAAGAAAGAAAGAAAGAAAGAAAGAAAGAAAGAAAGAAAGAAAGAAAGAAAGAAAGAAAGAAAGGAAAGAAAGAAAGAAAGAAAGAAAGAAAGAAAGAAAGAAAGAAAGAAAGAAGAAAGGAAGAAAGGAAGAAAGGAAGGAAGGAAGGAAGGAAGGAAGGAAAGAAGGAAGGAAGGAAGGAAGGAAGGAAGGAAGGAAGGAAGGAAGGAAGGAAGGAAGGAAGGGAAAGGAAAAAAGAAAGAGAAAAAAGGAAGGAAGAAAAGAAAGAAAAGGAAACATATTTGATAGTCTATGAAGATATATTAAGTGAACTCATGCAAACTTAATTACTAACTGTGTGGAAAGGGAAAATGACAAAGAAAGACACCTATATTTAGGGAATAAGATAGTGTCAAGCTAAGGAGATTGAGGAGAAACAAAGACACAGAAAGGTATCCAGAACAGGTCAGTACCATGAAAGCCTAGGGGTGACACACAGTGTCCAATGTGGTAGGGAGGTGAAAGACAATGATGAATGAGAAAAGAACACTGAATTAGCATATAGTTATCAGGAAAACATGAGAATAAATTTGAAATGGGAGAGAGAAGAAACAATTAAGAGGGAAAACTCCCAAAGAAGAATATAATGGATGGGATAATAATAATGGTTAATAACTAGCTTTTATATAAGGCTTTTAGGTTTACAAAGCACTTTACATGTTATCTCATTTTACCATCATGGCAATCCAATAATCTAAGTGCTATTTTTATTTCCATTTATACAGACAAGGAAACAGAGGCTACATCAGTAGAGAGGGTCAAGTGACTTGCCCAGGATCAAACAGCTAGTAAATGTGTGAGGCATAATTTGAACTCAGATCTTCCTGATTCCAATTCCAGCATCTACCCGCCTCAGATCAATGGAGTGAGGAGACAAATGGAAGAGTTGGCCTGGACAAGAAAAGATATCTCTTCCTAGGAGACTGGGGTATTCGACATCCTGGTCAAAGCGGTCTACTCTCTGTTTGTCAGAAATGGTACAGTATCTCTTCTATCTATGCGTTTTCCAGGTAGTCCCAAGTACGGAAAACACTCCATCCTTACATCCACCTCACATCCTTCTGAGCTTCCTTCAAAGTCCAGCTCAAGTGCCATCTGCACAAGACCATTCTCCATCCCTCCACTAATTCATGTTTTCTCTCTCTTTTGAAAATATTTCATATTATTTTACTTTGACACAGATGGGCTATTGTATGTAAAGTGCCTTGTAAATCTTAAAATTCTATATGAATTGATCAATCGTTATTGTTGTCATTGATATTATTAGTCTATCTATTTGGAGGTTTAAGTTTTTTGACCTTTTTCCTTTGTGTTTCTGTAGAAACTGGGCCAGTGACTTGACTGTAAGTGCTTTCTGAATGAATGACTGAACATGGTGCGCACAAAATGTCTACTGATTTTAATTGGATTGAATTGAGCAAAGAAAGAGAGAATGAGGAATGATGTATTGTGGTTTGAGGTGAGGAATAGGAAGAAGAGGGAGATCACAGGAGATGGCTTCCCATTATCTTTATCAGTAAGGTAAAAGGAGATGTCATTTGCTGAAAAAGACACATCAGGAGATCGCAAGTAGGGCATGAGGAGAGAGGTTTGGGATAGACGTGGGAAATGTGGTGGAGTCAATCAAGGAAGAATAAAAGGATTACCATGCAACAGTGAGGGTTCAATTGAGATCAAATGATGGCAATTTTTTTTTCGTGGACCTAACTGTCCATTGTATGACTACTTCTAGTAGTATTCAAGATCATGGGAGTAGGACCTCAGGATGATGTTGGGGGTAAATAAAAGCTGAGGTTTGCCAAAGTGTGAATAACAACAGAACAAAGGGGAGAGTATTGAAGGATAAAGAACAGTTCATAGTTGTATGGATTGGTCCATTACAGATTAAGACTATGAAAGGAAAGAAATGCATAGATGAAAGATTGAGAGAAGTAGGAGAAGTGAAAGAGCTAGATATTGTGGTGACATGAAAGGACAGAGATTTTTGATAGAAAAGCAGCTGTCAAGTGCTCAGGACTAAGATTTACTTTTAGGAAGGCCAACATTTTAGGGCAGGGACAGGCAAAGTATAGCCAGTAGGCCAGATCTAGCTCTACCTGTTTTTCTATAGCTTCAAGCTAAAAAGGTTTTTTTTTTTAATATTTCTAAATAAAACATTATTGTATTTAAAAATTAAAAAAAACCCCAATACATTCTTATCTGGGGAAAAAAGTATAGGAGCAGAATACAACTTGATTTAGCTAAGTCCATGAGCAGCCGAAAACAAATAGAAGCATAATAGCTACCATACAAATGTACACACACACACACACACACACACACTCACACACAACACGAGCTACCTCTACTTCTCTGAGTCTGAAAGAAAACCATATAATGGACATTTTCTACTAAAAATTGGAAATAAGCCAGCAATTGAACAAGTACAATATTGCACATCTTAAATTTCAAGGTTTACTCTTATTATTCAAATTTCAATGTCATGTTTATACTTATTGATTTTATTAATACTACAACACCAAATGTAAGGCAAATTTCATTTTCTGACTGCCTGTAAGGCCCCGTCAGTGACATATATCACTTTGTCACCACTCATGTTTGAGATAAATTTTATTATGCAGTAACTCTAAGTATCTGTGGGGATGACTGGGCAGGATCTAGAGGATAGCACAATCTGCTCTTAAGTTAACACGTGAGAATGTATGAGACTCAGTTAATAATTTTATTTGAGACATTTAGGAACTGCTAAGTAACCCAAATTATTTAGTGTATAAAATTATGTAGCGCATAGCTCTCATGACAAATATAATATGTAATACTATTCTTGAAATATGCTTCTTTTAATAATAAAAGAAATAACCATAAAAAGCAAAGTTTAACTAATATTTCTAATCATAGATGCTTTCATTGATTGTATTTATATGGGAATAGCCCATCTTAAACTTCATGAATACCATAGATTGAAAATATTCAAGGTTTGAAAACATTTCAAGGGTCATTTTATTGAGGTCCCTCTTGGCATAGACATATTAACAAAATCTCTGGAGTTATGTCTTTTGTCTTTGAAGTTCTATGGCAAAGATGCATTGGGAACACTCCATTCTTGAACTCTCAGATGCTCATGATAGGAATGGTTCAATGATTCATGATAATAGCTCAAAGGATATCTCTAGGCAAGGAGAGATGAATATGGAACTGAATATCACTCAAATCTTAGAACTGAAGGGTGGAAACAAATGTTGTACATACAAAAGATGAGAATGAATCTCAGGAATAGAAAAGGGAAGAGCAAATGAGCAAATTATGGGGAAGGGGAAATATCTTTGCTTTCAAAGTACCTCCTCTAACCATCCTCTTTTTTCCCCTCACAGATGCCTGGGATGACATTGGAAGCATCTGATATGTGTGGTTTTTTCCCCCCTTCTCTCTTTATGAGACAACTTTATTTTCTAGCAGCTGCTGTGATTCACAATATATCACTTTCACAAGGCATTTAACTATTACCCACTTTATGTGAATGAAAAGACATACTGTCAGTTTCCTGACAGATGTGAAGGAAGAAGTCATTGGTCTTTGGGATTCCAAAATAATTATATATTCACTAGATAACAAAAACACTCCTGCCTTCTATTTTTTTTTTCTTTTTTAAAAGATGCGATATTTGGATCCAAAGAATGGCTAACCAGAACTCTGAGTGTAAGAAAACAAGGAAGTAGGTGGTTGGGTATTGTTAATTCTTCCAATTAGAGAAACTGTTAAGTGAGATACCTGATCCCACTGTGGGCAGAAAAGGAAAGAAAAAAAGCTGTCTCAACCTAACCTAGTTAAAGTACTGGAGTTCTTAAAACCTCCAAACTGAATGCATGCATTTGGACACATTTACTATAAATTTCCTTCTTTCAATTTCTATGATTTGGGGGGGATGGGGTGGGGCTTTGTGTAAACTATAGAAAAAGGGACTTCATCAGTAGAGGAAGTAACCCCATCTGGGAATTCCCTGTATATTAATAAAATCCTAAGGCCTGTCTTTATCCCCTCCTGAAGGGGATATCTTCTCCTGAAGAAATTATTTGTCACAACTACAACTAATATTTTATACAAAGCATTTCAAATTTGTGTCCAATACATCAAGGAAATATGCATTGAGAATCTATAATTAAAAAAGAAACAAATAGGGAAATATCAAAGCATTATTTTGCCTTCCTAGCTTTCAATCTGACTGTTTTGGACTCTCCAAATAGAAATACTAACATTTTACATCAACGTTAGCTAAGGGAGAAGAAATTATTAAACCTACTTTTTCTTTAGTCGCCGGTCCTTCTCAGCTTGAGTTCCAAGTTTGCCTAAGCCTAGGGACTCCTGTGCTGCAGCTTCTGTCTCCATAAAGCCTCCTACAGAGAAATATTTTAGGTTAGATCATATTAATACAAGTATGTTAAACCTACTAAGTTCTAAGAAAACCTACTAAGAAATGTGAAACTTTTCTTTTCTTCATCATCATCATCATCATTTTGCTGCTAAATGTTTGAAAGGGTGGTCAGCAATCAGTGCCTCTACTTCCTCACCATCCTCTTACTGTCTTTGGTGTCTAGCAATTTGGCAGCTATCTCCACCCAATATGCTCACTCCAAAGTCACCAGTCAACTTCAAAATAAGAAATTGTATATGGATACATACATATATACATGAACACATAATATACAGACAAATATGTACACACATATAAGCATATATGTACACACATTCAAGTATGTGTATACACACAGATACATACACATATACATACATATGTACACACAAAGATATATACATGCATATACTTACATACACATACCTATGCTTAGATAACTATAATCATATATAGATAGATAGATAGATAGATAGATAGATAGATAGATACATTCACATGCATCTATGCAAGACTGTACTATACTTGTTTGTCCTCTGTTTCTCTGAGGGTGCATAATTTCTTCCTTCCCAAGGTCGAGTCTTTCTGTATTTTCCTAAGCCCACCAACTCATCGCTTCTTACACCACCGCAGTATTCCTCTCTTATACAGTCTAGTTATTTTCAATAGTCTAAAATAATGTTATTATATTATATTATATATTATATTACATTATTATATATTATATTATATATCTTATATTATTATATTATATATTATATTATATATAAATATAAAGTAGCATATAAAGTAGTTTCTCTATTTTTCTTTTTTGATTAAATTTATTTTAGCTTTAACTTCATCTGAGATCACGATTACTACCTCTGCTTTTTTTTTCCCTAATAAATTCTAGGTACATAGTTTTGGCAGGTTGGCAGGTAAATATTTCATAAGGGGATTAAGTTGGGATTAAAAGAAAGAGTATATGGAAAGTTCTTTTACAAGAAAATGTTCAACGATTTCTCTTTCCCTCCCTGTATTTCCCCCTCCCTCCGTGTCTCTCTCTCTCTCTCTCTCTCTCTCTCTCTCTCTCTCTCTCTCTCTTAACTTCTCTCAATCACTCTCGGCCCCCCCCCCCCGGCAAATTGTTATTATTCTCATTCAGTCCTTTCAGTTACATTTATGTTCTACTCTTTATTGCCCCATTTGGGGTTTTCTTGGCAGAGATACTGCAGTGGTTTGCCATTTCCTTTTCCAGTTCACTTTACAGATGAGCAAAATGAGGCAAACAGGTTTAAGTGATTTGCCCAGGGATGCACAGCTTAGTAAGTGTCTGAGGCCAGATTTGAACTCAAGAAGAGGAGTCTTCCTGACTCCAGGCCCAGCACTTTATACACTGTGCTACCCATTCGCCCTCACATTCCCCCACCTTCCTCCATTTTTAAAGCTTGCACATTTGTAATGTTACATAAGTATACAAATATGCCTTATTCCAAGGAGCATAAAACTTGAATATATTAACATACAACTAAGTATTGTTTTTTCTTCCTAAGAATAATGTTTTTTATACTCAGTCTTGTTATTTTCATCTTATCCAAGTGTTTCGAAAATTCTAAAAACTTTCATGCAAAACCCCTGGTGGGTACACAGTGTCATTACCCAGCAGATTCTACAACACTTGGTTTAATGCCAGTATTCTGGGTTCATAGAGTATACACAGCCTCAGGGCAGAAAAGGAGAGAAATAAAAACATGCTGGGCACTAACAGTAAGACTATTGCAATTTACAATGCAATTATTTCTTTCAGGAATCTTAAATGGATAATTAACTCATAAATTATCTACTGAACTATAAAAATGAGCATTTTCTTCTGTATTCTTTCTTTTCAGTATTGGTTAGACTCAGAAAAAAACTTGAAAAAAAATGGGCCATTATCATAAGATAATTTTATGAAGCCATTTACTTAATTGCAAAGTTCAAGTTCAAACTGTGATACTGTCAACATTAGACAGAGAGGTTTAGCTAATGCTAAATCTCTCAGAGAAAAAAGCCCAGAATTTTGCAATATTGTTACGATAACTGAGCCCCACTAAAACCAGCAACTTGCCTCCTATTACAAGAGTATAGAAAGCATCTAACCAAACTAATAACTCATCTGTGGCTGTTTGCTTTTTTATCAATTAATTAAAAAGTATTTATTAAACACTCAGTAAGTGGCAGGTACTTAATTATGTAATGGGAGTACAAAGAGAAAAGTGAAAAGGTCCCTGCCCTCAAGGGAATTACATTCTAATCAATTGACAAGATATATATAGATAAATATCAATGGAGATAATATATGTAAAGCAAAGTTACAAACCTTAATTTGTCATGTAAATGTAGCTATTCTAAATATTCACAACAACACAAAGCAGGTAGCAGAAGGGAACAGGAGAAGGTAGAAAGTGAATCTTGGGGGCAGCTAGGTGGCACGGTAGATTAGAGCACCGGCTCTGGATTCAGGAGGAACTGAGTTCAAATGCAGTCTCAGACACATAACACTTACTAACTGTGTGACCCTGGGCAAGTCACTTAACCCCATTGCCTAACCAAAAAAAAAAGTGCATCTTGAAAGAAATCAGGGATTCTAAGAGATGGGCATGCAGAGGAAATACATTTCCCACTTGAGAGTCAGAGAATACAGTTATGAATCAAGCAAGTAATAATCACTTGATAAACATTTGTTAAGCACCAACTATGGGCCAGATTGGCCAGCTAGGTGGAACAGTGGATAGAGCACTGGGCTTGGAATCTGGAAGATTCATCTTCCTGTGTTCAAATTTGGCCTTAAACACTTACTAGCTGTGTGACCCTGGACAAGTCACTTAACCCTACTTGCCTCAGTTTCCTCATCTGTAAAATGATCTAGAGAAGGAACTGGCAAACCACTCCAGTATTTTTGCCAAGAAAACCTCAAATGGGGTCATGAAGAGTTGGACATGACTGAACAACAATTATCAATCAGAAATCACGGGCCAGACTGCTACTGAGATGAAAGATAGAGAGAGATGTGTGAAACAGTAAGTAGTTCAATATATAAGCATAGGAGAAAGGCTGGAAAGGTAGACAAGACTCAGCTTGTAAACACTTAAATTCCAAACAAAAGAGATTTTGCCCTTGATGTAATAGGGGATAACCAATGGAGGTAATGGATGGGGGGTGGGGAAGAGGGGAGTGAAATACAAAGTCCCATTGCTTTGCATGGCACATAGACCTTTTATTATACTATTACAGGGTAAGATGGTTGCTCAGTTTTTTTTTTAATCTGAATGAAAGCATTACAACCTCTAACTTAATCTCTCATAGCTTAATATATTTCCTCTTAGCATCAAGAACAATTTCCTTTTAAGATGTCAACACATTGTTCTGATTTAGTGAATTTGATTTCAGGATCACAAATGTATCTTATCTGATTATGTATATGTTCCATGAACATTTCCAAACATTTTTTTTTCCAGCATGGAAAATTTTAATTTCTTTGGCCCTCTCCAATCCATAAAAAAGTGTGCCCATAACTAACTTAAGGTTACTTATCTTAGTACTTACTTAAGCAAGGCACTAAATTCTATTATTCTAGAAAAGCAATCCATTGCAAGGCTAAAGTATCCCTTAAGGATTATTGTTTAAGACTTGAATTTTCCATGGAAGAGTTGGTGAAGACTTTCATTTTACCGCTCTCTTTTCACACATTTGAGTTACTGTATACTCATAAATCATCATGCATAATCTGCAAGTGATAATAAAATAAGTCTTTTGGAATGTAAATGGGAATTAACAAATTCAGTTAAAAGTTATAAAATTCTCAATCAGCCCAGATGGAGAGCTATTTAATAGAATCTGAAACATTTTGAGTTACCAGGTGGTCAAATGAATCTTTCTTTCATAGTAAAACAAGGAAAAGTCTATATTATTATTTAAGTGAGTTCTTTTTCAAGAACATAATGTTTTAGGGGATGAGAAAGAGAACAGATATAAATAAGGAAAGCACTGCAGAGCAGAAATGCTAAATCATATCCTAGGAAAATTATAGGATATGTAGTTTCTATAAACAAAACTCAAGTAATAGGAAAAATGAGATGTTTAGAAATATTCTGAATATACAGAATTCTGGTAAGATGTGGGTACCAGTTCTGTCTCTGCTAGATTCTGGCTGTATCCTGGATAAATTGCCTAGCCTCTCTAAACAGTAATTTTCTTCTCTGTAAAATGGGTATAACAAAGTTTCTCATACCTACTTTGAAAGGCTATTATAACACAATAATTTATTTAAACTATTTTGCAATATTGAGGCATTGTAACATGTGAGTTACTTTCATTTTTATCCTCATAGTAAAAAAAATACAGAATAATAATAAGAGATAATAGGGCAAGATCATTTTTAAAAACACTGAAATAAAAGTGCAACAAAACCTAGTTTCTTTCTTGTAATTCATTTTTTAAATAGTTACCAGAGAGAATTTTCAAAATGTGTTCGTTCATCTTGTTATTTTGCTTTTCAAAAGCCACTATGGATTCCCATGCTAAGACTTGCTAGTCAAGGGTCTCCATGATGTCTTCATTCTACCTTTCTAGTATTATCTTGTACTCTTCCATTTCATGAGTTCTCCATTCAAGCCAACCTGGTTTACACACTGATGCTCAGGGGTGGAAGGTCCAGACCCCAGAGGTCATCAAGTCTAACCTATCCCCAAATAGGAACCTCCTCTACAATATAGCCAACAAATAGCTATCCGGCCTCTGCTTGAAGACCCCTAGGGAATAGGCATCCAGTGGTTCCTAGGGCAGCTCATTTCACTCCTGTGTAGCTGTAGATACTCAGAGTTTTTCCTTGGGTAGAATGCATGCTCTCAATAGATGAGCCTGACTGTGATTATACTTGGATCAAAAATGGGTCTCAGCAATTTCCATTCATTACTTCTAGTTTAGCCCTCTAAGACCACACAGAAGAAGTCTAATATATCTTAATAATAATATCCCTTAACATATTAAAAGAGAGCTAATAACTTTCCCCTCCACTGACCCCAAGTCTTTTTGTTGTTCAGTCCTTCAGTTGTGTCCAACTCTTCATGACCCCATTTTGGGTATTCTTGGCAAAAATACTGGAGTAGTTCGCCGTTTCCTTCTCCAGTAGATTAAGCCAAACAGAAGTTAAGTGAATTGCTCAAGGTTAAGGAGTGAGTAAGTGTCTGAGGCTGGATTTGAATTCAGGTCTGCCTGACTCCAGGCCCAGTGGTCTATCCACTGAGCCACCTATCTGACCCATCTCCTTTCTAGCTTCCTTTTATGTGTTGTCCTTTGCATATTCGAATATAAGCTTCTTGAAGTCCAGGGACTGTTTTGCTCACTTGTATTGCTTTTTCTTTTTTTCTTTTTTTTGGCTAGGCAATGGGATTAAGTGACTTGCCCAGGGTCACACAGCTATTAAGTGTTATGTGTCTGAGGCTGGATTTGAACTCAGGTCCTCCTGAATCCAGGGCCAGTGCTCTATCCACTGTGCCACATGGCTACCCCCTCACTTGTATTTCTGAACCCAATGCTTGGCACACAGCAAATACTTAATAAATGTTCTATCTACCGGATTTTTGAAAGAAGTCTATTGCCAAAAACAAAACAAAACAAAAAATTCCAAAATAGCAATCTGGGGGCTCAAGGAATGGATTGAGAACCAAAAAAAGACAGGAAGAGTAGATTTAGGAAGAGGTTGAGAAAAAAAAAACCCTGAAATTTGGGGTTTGGTGTTGCCATCAACAAAACAGTGGACAAAAAAGTCACCTACCATGTTATTAAAATGTTAGGCTGCATGAAAAAAAAATTAACAATGGCCTACTAGGCTATTTGGCATGCACTGTTATGTATCAAAAATTAAGAACAAGCTGATATTATAAAACTCACAAATGGTTGAGAAAGCAAAGAAAATGGACACAGAAAGAAGAGAAACAAAATCTATCTTGGTAAGCCACTTTGATGTACTGAACAACCAAACTCATCCCCTTACTCAATTATGCAACACTCACTCATTCCCCCCTCTCCTCCCCTTACTCCCCTGGGAGTTGTTTAATACTCCTGCTGAAGTGTATTTAATCACTCAGCTGTTGGCATAGTAGCTTCCTACAGCTTCTAATGCTCTCACTGGGTTTTACACTGGGCAAGTCTGAAAAGATGTGTTATTTAAAATGTGTGTGTGTGTGTGTGTGTGTGTGTGTGTGTGTGTGTGTGTGTGTCTTAAAGATTACAGGCCAAAATTGGTAACCAAAAATACCATGTTCGGAAAGTCTCTCAGCACAAAGTCAGGAAGCTAAAGCCTGGGGAGCCTGGCTTTTGAATAAATCTGACTTCTCCTGGCTTGGGAAACAAAAAAGGAATCTATAGCTGAGTCAATCACTCCTTTTTTGTTTCTTGTGGTGTTACAGGCTGAGTGAAACCATGCCCTTGTGATCAGACCGACTCTAGCCATCCTCCCAAACAGAACTCGAGGAAAAACATGAAGATACCAAAAATAAAAATGGAAAAAAAATGAAACTGCACTATCAACATTGGAGTTGAGGAAAAAAGGATACATGATATAACTAGGCATTTGGAGAAATGCAATAGCTAAGAAAATGTGTAGGATGGAGGACCCAATGATAAATGATATTGCCACATAGTTGTCGTATAACAGACTGTCCTGTATGTCTGGGTCTAGAACCATTTTCTTCAGTTGTATGACAATGTATAATAATCTCATATCTGAGCCTGGTCAACCCCACAAAAAGTCTAAAAAGTCTAAGTCATCACAAGGTTAAAAAAACAAAATCTTACAGACAAACTCCAGTTTGGCCTTTTCAGCCCCTCATTACTTGGTTCTAACCTACCCTTTTATCCAAATTATATATTACTTCCCTTCATATACTCTTTATTTTAGTCAATATAACTTTCTTGATGTTCTTCATAGAAAATATTCCAACTCTCTTCTCGGTGGTTTTACACAGCATGTCTGCAATGCATAGAAATGCATTCTCAGCTCTATCTCAAATATTCCCTTTCACATATCTTCAACCTCTTCCCTACCTATTGACTCATGCCTCCCCTATTGCCCTCAAAATGTCTAAACCTTTTCAATTAAAAAAATACTAGATCTAAATACCCTGGATCTCTCTCCTCCTTTTCTTTCTTTCTTTCTTTCTTTCTTTCTTTCTTTCTTTCTTTCTTTCTTTCTTTCTTTCTTTCTTTCTTTCTTTCTTTCTTTCTTTCTTTTTTCTTTTTTCTTTCTTTCTTTCTTCTTTCTTTCCTTCTTCTTCTTTCTTCTTCTTCTTCTTTCTTCTTCTTCTTTCTTCTTCTTCTTCTTTTCTTCTTCTTCTTCTTCTTCTTCTTCTTCTCTTCTTCTTCTCTTCTTCTTCTTCTTCTTCTTCTTCTTCTATTAGTGTTAGGTGCCTTGCCAAGGGTCACACAGCTAGTAAGTGTCTGAGGTTGGATTTGAACTCAGGTACTCCTGACTCCAGGAATGTTGTAGTATCCACTATGCCATTTAGCTGACCTCTGTCCTCCCCTTCTTGCTCAAACTCTTGGTAAAAACTTTCTGTACTCATTGTGTCTGTTACCTTCTTTCACAATCACTCCTCAATCCTATGAATTTGGCTTCCCACCTGATTCACTTCTCAACTGAAATTGCTCTCTTGAAAATTACTGATAATGTCTTCATTCCAAATCTGATGGTCTTTTCTCAGCTTTCATCCTCCTTGATCTCTCTTCTCCTTTTGGACAACTCTCCCCTCCCTGAGTTTTCATGACACCATTCTCTCCTGATGTTCCTCCCATCTTCCTGAAGCCCTTCTCCATTCTTTGCAGGTTCATCTTCCATACCATGCCCCAAGATAGTTTGTGCTCCCTCAGGCTCTCTCACGGGCCCTCTTTTCTTCTCTCGGTGAATTCATCTGCTCTCATGGGCTTAAATATCACCTCTGTGTGAAATGATCTCTACAGATGACTCACAGACCCATAGAGCTGGCCCAGTGTTTCTCTTAAGTTCCAGACCAGTGTCTTCAGCTGCCTACTGGACATTTCCAGTTGACTGTTCCAAATACATTTCCCAATCTACAAATCCAAAGCAGTTCAAACTCATTATCTTTTCCAAACTTCCCTATTTCTGTTGAAGACACCACAATTTTTTTTCTCTCATGATCAAAACTGCAGCATTATCCTCCACTCTCCCCTCATTCCACATCTTCAATTAATTTTCAGATCTTGTCATTTCTATTTCCACAACATTTTTTTTGTTTTTGTATCCAATCCCTTCTCCCCATTCTCGCAACAATAATCTGAGGTCAGCCCTTTGTAACTTCTTGTCTACATTATTGCAACAGCTTCCTAATTGGTCCTTCTGCCTCATTTGTGCCCCTCTTCTATTCATATTCCATACAACCACCCAAGTGATTTTCCTTAAGGAGAGTTATGCTCATGTCACTCCTCTACATAACAAACTCCAGTGATTCCCTATCACCTCCAAGAGATAATATATTAACTCCTCCATTTAAGTTTTAAGGCTTTTCACTACTTGGTCCCAATTAATTATTCCCACCTCTCTGAATATTATTCCCTCTCCAGCATGCTACAATCCAGTCTGCAGGACCTTCTCACTCTTCCTTGCACATAGAACTCTACCCATCTTCTTGACCTTAAAATGACCTTTCCTCTTGCCTAGAAGATGATCTCTCCTCACATTTGCTCCATAGACTTTCTCCCTTTCAGACCTAGGTTAAGCATCATTCTTTCCATGAAGTTTTCCTGATTCTCTCCCTTCTATATCTGGTCCCAAACTGCCAGCCCTCCCTAACTACCTAGCATTTATTCTCTTTATAATTCTACTGTGTATACCTGTGAATGTACTTGTCTCCCCATTAGAATACAGATTTCTTGAGAGTAAGGATGAGTTCACTCTTTGTATCCACATCCCAGAGATTACCAGAGTGCCTCGTACATAATGGTAGCTTAATAAGTGCTTATTGTGATTAGAATCTCTAGTTTCCTTCACAGATCTTATCAAATGTCAGTTTTTACATGAAGCCTTTCCTGATCTTCCTAGCTGTTAGAGTCCCTGGCTTCTACCTCCATGACTTACCTTGTCCCCATCAGTTCCTGTTTTAATTCTGTATAAATTCTGTGTGTAATTATATGTGTACACATTGCCTCCCCCAATAGACTGGAAGCTTCCTGAGGGGAGGAATGGTTTCTTTTTCTTCCTTCCTTCCTTCCTTCCTTCCTTCCTTCCTTCCTTCCTTCCTTCCTTCCTTCCTTCCTTCCTTCCTTCCTTCCTTCCTTCCTTCCTTCCTTCCTTCCTTCTTTCTTTTTCATTCTAAGTAACCAGTGCAACACCCAGCACATAGCAGGCATTTAAAAAATACTCAATAGTTAATTAAGCATCATGCTTCCTTGGGGCTTTTGTTTTATTCAAGTCTTACAAATTCACTTTTTTTTTTTCCTGGGATTTTCATAGTCAGCTCTGATTGCTTCATTTCTTTTGTTTAAAAGAAAAGCCTATCACACAGAAAATTATTTATAAAACTGCGTTACAGAAGAAACAACTGGAATGGAAAACACTATAAAATTCTCTTTGTGTTACATGTGTCAGAACTTTCGCTTAAAAAAACCCAACACATCATAGCAGAGCAGAATTGGGCTCAAGCGCGGCTACCAACAAAACTTTGTAGGGTGGAAAGAGTTTAAAAGCGCTAATACAGAAACATCTGAAAAAGAAAACCTGCAGGGTAGATAGACCAAAATGTGTGAGCATGACAGTGGAAAGATAATAAAGCACAGTTCCTTACTGAGTTGTCCAAGCCGGGCTTTCTCTTTTTTACCAAATAAGCGTCCTATTGAAGACTTGATTCCTTTCTTTTTGGGGGCTTTGTGGAGGGAATCTTGGCTACTATTGGCACTGCCAAGACCGATGCTGTCTGTGTCCAAGGACCCTGATAAACTGCTGAAAAAAATTAAAAAGTGAGAACATCATGGTAATGCTGTACCTATATGATACATGATCTTTTTTTTAAACTATAAAATGTGTAGAAGGGAAGCAAAGACTCCTCTTCTTTTTTCTCTCCTCCCTTCTCTGCTCCCACCTCATCTGGTACATACTTGTGATTTCACTATTAGTGGAAAGTGCATGGATTTGGAGTCTGAAAGACCTGGGTCTGAGTCCTGGATCTTCCATTTGCTAACTACAAAACCTTGGGTAGTTAAGCGAGTTTATAGTACCAAATGACTTAATTAAGTGACCTGGACCTGGAATCTACTTTAGAGAGTACAGGGATTCTTAATCATTGATTCTAAAGGAGACCAGGGATAGATTTCAGGGAGTCTGTCCAAATCTTGTGATCTTACTATATGAAGTAACAACATCTCCAAATTCTGATTTTCCTCATCCATAAAGAAAAAAAAATCTATTGACCAGCTCTAAGATCCCTTTGTACTCCACCATTCATGCATCCATGACAATGACTTAAAAATCAGTGACAGCGTTGGAATTGCTATTCCAACTCTGTTTTCTACAAAAATATTTAGTATATTTTTCTATGACTATATGCTCTCTCTCAGGCCTTAAAAATACAGGCCTTTAAACTATTTTAAGTCCCAAACAGGGCATGAAATAGTTTAACTGTACTTTATTAATAGTGACTGTTTTGAGTGACATCATAGAAGTAGTTGGGAGGAGTCATAGAAGGAACAAGCCTTTATTAAGCACTTTTTGTATGCCAAGCAGTGTGTTAAGCACATCATAAGTATCTTGGTGTACCCTTGCACCTGTGAGGTAAGGTATGTTCTTCCCTATTTTACAGAGGGGGAAACTGAAGCAGAGAGAGAGAGTGACTTGCCCAGAGTCACAGCTAGTAAGTGCAGCTGGATCTAAGCTCAGGTTTTCCTGACTCCAGGCCTAGTGCTCTATCCACTGAACCACCTAGTTGCCTTGGACTCAGAAAGAACCAGGTTCAATTTCTGCCTTTGATGCAATACTGATTTTATCATCAGTGCTCAGGCAACTGTCTGCCATTATGAGTTGCAGAACAGGTGATGCTCTGAACTGATGTGAACTGATGAAGGGAGCTCCCCAAGGAGAGTTTCCTATCCTAACGAAATGCTAATTTAGATCAAAAAAAGAAAACTGACACCTCATTCCTAATGTCTGGGTCTTCCAAATGTCTGTCCCAGCTTTACTTCTTTGTCAACACATATAGCTCATTTTGAGAAGTCTAACTTTCTATCATTACAAAGAAATCCATTCCTTCAAGAAGCATCTATTATCAGATGCTATTTATGTTGACATGCCTAAACTACATACAGTAGGGATTTCAAAAGAAGACCAGGTTTGTGGGCAAAAAGACTCTTACCTCCGGGCTTCATTGTGATAGGATGAAGGAAGGGTATGTGTCATTCTGATTGCTCTTGGTGTTGGGGGAGGAGATGTCTCACATTTTATTGTTGCTTTATCTTCACGACCATCTTCTTCAACCACGGCAATCTAAGGTCAAAATTGAGAGACGAAGATAAGATCTTCCTACAGTAATGAAGACATTTAAATAATTGCAAAATACACACAGATCTACCCTTGAACCTATAGTCTACATAAACTGAGTCTGTACAGTTTCAATTTCATTTTGTTCCACTCCATTCCTTCCCAATCTACCCAATTCCACTCAATAAATATCTGAGGGATAGTAATAAGCAAGGCATGTCTCAAGCATTTGTGGGAGATACAAGTTGGGAAAGACAAGTTTCCCTACCTTTAAAGGGTTCAAGCTAGTGGGGAGGATATGAAATTCATTTAAGAAACAAGTATGAGGTCTTAAGCATCAGTCAAACAATAAACACTTATTAAGTGCCTACTATGTGCCAGGCACTGTGCTAAGTCCTAGGGATATAAGCATCAGAAGGAGATAAAGAACCAAACAAGGCATAGTCTTGATTCTCCAAAAAGTTCTCTAGAAATTAATATGACAAAAATACTATGAGTTTTAAAAATTATCCAATAGTACCATTCAAATTGTATTGGTTATTATGATGGATGCACACATACACAATATATGTTTTTGTGTATAAATATGTATGACAACTTTATTGACATCATCATTTTCATAAATAAGCCAAAATTCAAATTTGTTAGTCAACTAGCATTTATTAAACACTTCCTGTGTCATTCCTTAAAAGTTTATAGAAGTAGTTAAGAAACTGATATATTTAGTCCCACTCACTGTTGAACAAGGAATCTGCTGCCTCTGACAGATCGCCACTTACACATTAGAGAACAATTTGGGCAATGAGTCCTATCCCTCTGCAGCCAATTTCAAAGGAGTTGGTGGGAAAGGAAGGGAGGAGAGGCTCCCATGATAAGTAATGCATACTTCTTGAGGAAAGTGAATATAGAAAACTGGGAGAACCTTGTAAAACTGAAATACTCCCACTGTGATGCCAGCATCACATCTTTTAACCTCATCTCTGGACCACATTTAATTCACTTCAAAGATTCTTCTTGGTCTTAGTTCCACCTACTCTTTCTCTTCTGGCTGCGATTTTGTATCCCTGGAACATCAACTATCATGGCTCCTGAGGTTTTGGCTCACTCTACAATGGAAACTTACACATAAGGTATAAGTTTACTCCTTTACTCCTTAGACCAAAAGACTTTAATTGGCACTGTGAAAAGACTCCAGTGGAACTGAAGATAGGAGAAACAATACAAGGGTACCTATGATCAGATTGTCATAGTAGATTACTTCCATTAGCTTTAGTAAGGTAGGAAATAAAGTTTGTAGAAGGTAAGAACTGGAGAAAAAAGGGAGGGTAAAGAACTTCAAAGAGCTAAATATTTTAAAACCAGCCAGTCCAACACAGTTAATTATAACACGAGTTTAATAAGAATCACTAAACAATTGAAAAAAAATACTGTTTTTTGTACATGGAAAAAAGATTTGGCAGAACAATCCTGGAAATGATAGATAGATTATTTTTGTTATTAGGAGATTCACAAAATAAACTTTATAAGGAGATGGGCACAAAGATTTGCTAGGGAGAAGTCAATTAAATATGAGTTGTTTGGAAAGACTATATTATTGGGTATAAGGGAACAGAGGTCTCTGTTCAAGGAAAATTTACCAATAGTCTTGCATCGATCATGGAGAAATAATTTTCTACATTGTTATTGCATATTATTTCTTACACTACATAGATAGAGGTTGTTAAAGACAAAGAAATGATAATTTCTTCTTGATGTGGCAGAAATATTTCAAAATAAGAGTTCAGTTAATGTTATAAATATGACTTCAATATTGATGTCAAGTTGATTGGAAGCCCTGAATAAGTCATTTTTAATACCTGTATTTTTATATTATGTGAGTTATATCTTTATCTTTGATAAAGAATGAACATAAAAATTGCAGCCTGAATATTATCGTTGAATTATTTAAAATTATTAATAAGATTTTAGGAAGTTCTGAGATTCTGGGCAACATATATGAATTTAATTGTGTGCATGTGGAGGGCATACTTCTGGATTTATCTTCTTTTTTGTCTTGACATAAGGACTGGAAGTAAAGGTTGGAAATACAATAGATGTATACTGATTGAATAACTCAACTGGCTGCCTCTTAAACTGTTGGCATATTATAGCAATGTGTGTTTTGGACCCACTTTGTATTTCCAATGTGAATGGTTTGACCAATCTCCCACATTTCTGTGAATTTCATTACAAATGCAAAACTGACATCTGGGTTAACTGTTATCAGTGTGAAGCCATCATTCCTTTTTAAGGTTAATTCTTAAGCCTACTTTATGTTTCATACATATATTTTCCTAGATTGTTTGCTTAGTTTTGTTATTTAGAGTTAGCCTCCATGTTAGTTTCTTCTCAGGATATTCAGTGATTTATTAGCTTTTCTTATTATTTTCAGAAATTATAAAGCTAGATTTTTCTGATATGGATAATACGTGCAAATTTAGGTCAAAAGAAATCTATATAAGGAACTGAAGTCTTGAGAGGTCAAATGCTCATATATAAATAATTTAGAGAGGTGTACCATAATTTAATATGTCTTCCCTTTGATGATAATGTGGTTTTAACTAGTATAATGAAAAAATATATAATATCCTTAAGTAATCAAACAGTAATGTTTATATAAAATATGTACAATACCTTTCTCCGATGTTTCCTTAGATCACTTGGCTATCATTGGTAGCAAGAAAAATGACCAAAAAAGGAAAATAAACTAATCAATGAACAACATCATATGAAAATGTGAAATGAGATATAAAACAATAATTTCATCCTTAATTATTTTTCAAATTCACAAACAGATTCCTGGATAATTCTCCAAGGATAATTTAAGTCAAGTTATTTAAATTTTTAATTATTTAAAATTACAGTATAAACAAACAAATTTTCTTTTTCTTTTCTTTCTATTCTTTTCCCTTCCCCCCCCCCAATGAGTCTACCTGTCTCACCCAGTCTAGAAGTGTTGTGGCCACTCACAGGTAGATCCCACTTTGGATTAGCACAGATGATGGTTTATTTCTAACCTGGGCCAGTTTGCCTCTCCTTAGGCAGCCTGGTGGCTTCCCATTCCCATGGGTTTACCATATTGGTACCAGATTTGGTATGGACACCTAACTCACTTTAGACCTACTATAGCTCTGAATTGTCAAGCTTAAGAAATCTACCAGCCTCAACCTCTCTCAATAGCAGGAATTTATAGGCTAGCTCTCTGTACACTCAACTTCTAATAGATTTCAGGTTAAGATTCTCGAATGTTACTGTTATTTTCAATAATTAATAAAGTTGTTTTCAAATGTACCCTTCATTGGGGAATTAATCTCAGAAAATTTCTAAGTTGTTTTTAGCCACAAAGAAATGTGGAGAGCTGGCATTCAGTCAAATTGATCTTTGCAGAAAAACAAGCAATATTTGTTGTTCCACTTTCACTTGAAGTCTAAAAATCACCAGTCACTCTCTCCACATCACTTTTTATCTTAGACATGGCTATGGACTTTAAGTTGCTATGTTTCTTAGCAATCATAATACTGTCAGCGTCAGGACAATTGAACTTCTAGTCCTTTCTCAGCACCCATAAATTTCACATAGCTGAAATCAATTTCAGGTTCAGGTTTTGAGTCAGTAAATTAGGGAACATTCATTCAGAAAAAAAGAATCAAATGAAATAAACATATATAGCATTCTGCAAACCTTATTGAGCTATATAAGCAGAAAAAGAAAAATATATAAAAATCAAGCTTTGATTACAAGCTAAATGTAATGTTGACACAATAAATGTATTGAATGTTTAATTTCTCACATTTTTGCCTTCCCAGAATTCCTAGAAAGTCCATACAAAATCATTCATTCAATATTTCAGCTGTTCATTCATTCATTCATCCATTCATTTAACAAATTTTATAATGGAAAATTATATTTAGATCAGTGGTTCTTAAATATTGGATCTGTGAAACAATTTTTTTAGAAAAAAATATATTTCAATAATAGTATTTCAACAAAATTGATTGCCTTCATATCATATATTTTATATGCTTAAAAACTTGTTTTTTCCCCCTGAGGAGTCCATAGGCTTCACCAAAGGCATCCAGGTCACAAAAAGAAGCTAAGAACCTATGCCTTCGATAGATGTTTCCATTTTCTCAGTATTTGTGCAACTAATTTCTAAATTTCAATTTTAGTGAATCCAAAAAAAACAACAACACCCCAACCTTTGTTAACAACATTTATTGAACAATAAAGTTTGACTGAATTCTAGTTACTGTATTTTTTAATCTGGTTCCTTAGCTCTAGTTACTTTTGTTGCTGCTGCTGCTGTTGCTATTTTGTTCTCAACCTGTGATTTCATCATTGTGGGGGGAGACTTGTCTAAGACTCTGACAAGTTATGGTAAGAATCAGAGGCAGATCTCCAGACTTTAATACTGTCCCTGAATCCCAAGAGTTCATTTGCTTCTCTGTGTGTGTGTGTGTGTGTGTGTGTGTGTGTGTGTGTGTGTGATGGACCCCTTTGGCAAACTTATGAAAACTGTGAATCCCTTCTCAGAAGAATGTTGATTACCAAGGAAATCAACTGATTTTGAAGTTAATTTATACAAATATATAAATATTTTTTAAAAATCATGGACCTCAGGTTAAAAACTCCCGTATGTGCGTATACTTTTTTTGATAGTAAAGAACTGGAAACAAAATAGATGTTGGTCAATTGGAGAGTGGCTAAACAAATTGTAATATAAGAATGCAATTAAATTTAGTACTTTGCTGTAAGAGACAACTATGATGAATTCATAGAAGCATGGAAAATATCACCTGAGGAGGTAAAAGATCCAATAATACAATATACACAATGACTACAGCAGTACAAATGGAAAGAATGACAATCATAAACAAATGAAAATGAATTACAAAGAATAAAGATATACAAGATATGAGATAACAACTGCTACAATTCCCATGGGGAATTCAGAGGACTATGGGTGTGGAACATTGCCTAGATTTTTCAGATTTTTTTAATAGATTGATTGGTTTTATTGATTGCTTTTTTATTCTGTTTTTTCCTGTTTCCCTTTTTTTCTTTTAAAATTCCTTTGTTGTCCTGTATGACTCTCTGAGTGGGATAGATACAATAATAACAATAAACCAATAACAATTTATTTAAAAAAGAAGCCCTGTATCTACTCTGTTAAGCTGTCTACCCCAGGGACATTTCAATCTTATAGCTATTGCCTTTAAGCTCATGAAATTTCTTTCAGCATTGTGTTACCAACATTCAATGAAATCACATTTACCAAACATGCAGTGCTGGAGAAAACTTATTAAAGTCTCTGGGTTTTTCTGTGAAATGCCAATATTTCCCCAATCATGAAATAAATCTGAAGCTATATCTAGGAACAGAGCCTAGCCCATTTATTAATTAGGGGCAGCTAGTTGAAAACATTATTGAACATTCACCTATCACTATGCTAAAAATCACGCAGATGCTGTCTAAATGTTAATTTAAAAAAAATTTTAATTTAAATGCAAAGATTTTGAGGAGAGAGTGAGGCTGATGACTTTGCCCAGCTATGCCTCACTTAAATCCAATTCACTTGCAAGTCAAGGCATCACTCTACTGATGTCTTTGGTCCTCTTTGAGAAGGAAGGATAAATAAGATCACGAACAATAGATATGCCTAAAATTTATCAGTCTCCAATAAAAAAAGAAAAAACCCCATAAAGTTGCTTCCCCTCCTCCTCCTCCTCCTGCCACTCTCAAGTGATCTATATCAATGAGAGCAGGGTTGAAAGCCACTGACTTGAAGAAAATAAGGAGGACAGTATGGGTTGGCTGTGAAAGAGAGTGACAAATAGTAAAATAGAAGGGAGACAAAAATAGTAAAATAGACCAATAGTAAGTTAGGGCAAAAATACAGGAGAGGGGCAGTGTAATGTGAGATGAGAGACAAGAATAGTGTAAGATTAGGAGTACCCTCAATTACTCAACATTCATATTTCCTTTCATCTTTCCCAGAACATCCTGCCTTTTGTACTGGTGCAAAGCAGTCTATGAGTACAGAGGGTAGCCTTTTGTCCAGGAGAATGCCCGTTTGGATAGGAGCTATCACGTATTCTCTTTATTCTTCCTCCTTTGGCAAGAAATCCAAGATGAGGAATATCTTCTGATTTTTTTTTCTGTCCTCTAACACTTTCTTTTAAGGTAGGTTTTACTGTTACCAATCTAGTTTGGCTTTGCTGGGTGGACTTTAGAAAAGCCATGTCAGTACAAGAGGCTCAAGGTCTCCTTGATTCCTTCTCAGCTTTATGTGCCTTTCCTAAGATCCTTAATTCCTTCTGACACCCCTTCTATTACAGTCTGAAAAGATAAAGACCATTTCACTAATTTGCATTTCAATTAATATTGAATCCCAAAATGAGCACTGTTGAACTGAAGTGCTGACATTTTTCATGGGGGTATTTTAACAGCCAAAAATAAATAACTAAATGGAATAAAGATGTCACTCCTTTTAAAACTGTATTCGGTGTTTCTCAGATTCATTATAATATGATATAGTTTTATCAAGCTGTCCTCAAATCTTGGACAAATTATCTGGCAATGGAAACACAGTTGGATGAAAGTGTCTTCCACTTCATTTCTATTTGTCTTTGTTGGTAATGTTCTGTACTTCATCTTAATTTTATTTGTGCGTGTGGGTGTCTTCTAATTTGGAAACCTAGGGTTTGAGCTAAATTAGAAGGAAACTGACTTCTGTACCTTAAGAATGTCATTGGTTTTCCCCCTTTAACTGATGGTGATTACAGCTGCTTCACGTATTCTTAGCTGAAAAATATCAATAACCTGGTGGCCAACATTCTGATGATGAATTACTGAATCATACAGAAACACCAAATGAATTTCAGTACTGGAAGATACTCTTGCAGTCATAGTATAACCTACGCTTGAAAAAGAATTCTTCCTCACTTAACCCCATTGCCTAGCCCCCCCCCAAAAAAAAGAATTCCCCCAAGAATATATTTAACAAGTAGTCATACAATAGTTACTTAAAGACCTTAAGTTAGGAGCAACCTATTTTGTTCCAAGGCCGCTTATCCCATTTTTGGACATCTCTGATTGGTAAGGACCTTCACATCATGGCTAAATTTGTCTAGTTGCAATGTCCATTCCTTGCTTTTTCGTTTTAGAGCCCATCATGAGTTTTTTTAGGCACAGCAACTCATAAAGGCATGGAAGAGTTACAATCACCATTGACAGAAGCACAATGATGAAATGATGGAATTTTTAAAGTAAATACTAAAAAAAACCCCATGAAATCACCCCTATCTTATTTCTGGACTTAATGCCAGTGGAGAGTATTTGAGTTATTATTAGGAAGGAAATTCACTGGGCATAATTAGCTTTGTTCCAGTATCATCAGCTACAAACTATTCTTGAGATTTATAAGCTATTGGATTTTTCTTTTGGTATTTATTTCTCAAGTAAACTTGAGGTTAACATGATCCAGACTCATTCTCTTACCAGAGTCATGATTCCCATTCGATCCATCTCCCTGGCTGGGCTTCGGGGAGTAAGCTTAGGCGTGGAGTGGCCACTAGGAGGAGATGAACTTGCTAGCGATGAAGCAGTTACTGAGGCAGTGATTGAAGTACCTGGATGGACTCGAGCTAGATTCAAACCTTCTAGGCTCACACTGGCCACTCTGTTCTCGATTTCTTCAGCACGTAGTTCTGTGGACTCTTTCTCTTCCTGAATTAACCTGAAAGGTACATTTGAATTTAGGTTAGTGTTGTCTGCAGCTTGAAAGACTATACAATAAATTGCAACGAGTATTAATTAAATGCCTATTAAGTGCCAGGCATTGACCTCACTATGCACTAAGGACAGAAGGATAAAAAAAAAAGAAACATTTTATGTCCTCAAGAAGCTTATATTCTTCTGGAGGGGAGAAGAACAACAGGTACAAAGGTTAATAAAAGCAAAATAAGCAATTTGGAGATGGTAGCACTAACAACTTTGGGGAGATAATTACAAGGTCTCCAACCATTTAAATAAAACAGCTAGTTTTTGCAAATTTGTTTTTGGTTCTTGAGCAACATGTGGGGAATTTTAAGAAGATTTCTATATACTACAAAGGCCGCTAGGTGGTTCAGTGGATAGAGCACTGGACCGGGAGGAAGACTTCAGATTAAATTGTGCTTTAGTCACCAAATAACTGGGAACCCTGAGAAAGTCCCAAACTCTATCTGCCTTTGTTTCCTCATTTGTAAAATGGAAATAATAATAACTATTTTCCAGGGTTGCTATGAGGATAAAATGATAAAGTATTTTTATAACAATTTGTAAACTTCAAAGCACTATATAAAAGCTAGTAGTAGTAGTAGCAGCAATAGTAGTAATAGTAGCAGCAGCAGCATTTTCTTTTCAATAAATTTGAGTAGTTTCAAGGCTAAAGTATAGCCAATTTTTACTTTCAGAGGATTTATATTTCCTTCTTCTAGGATTCTTTTTCCTTAGCTCCTTTAAAGACTTGTTTCCCAATCTGATTCCTGCTTTTAAGCTAAAATTAAACCTGGTGATCTCTTCTCCTCATTAAGTCCTTTCCAAATTAGGCCCTTTTTGAACTTCTTTTTTGCTTCAACAATACAAAGTAACAGTTGTCAATATAAGACTTTTCATGATTTTAAGCAATTTATAGAGCTGTTAAAGCATTTCATCTAAAAAAAATGTTATCCAGCTACATCATCATAAAAAGGTCACACACCATTTGTGGCTATCACTGGAAGGATAGAGACATGTTCAAGAGAGAAAAATATTAGAGAGAACAAAGTGAAAGGAAGAAGGGGTAGAAGAAAGGAAGATGGTAGAAGAGAGAGAAAGATAAAGCAGTTCGTTTGGTAGTAGTGCTAGATAGCCATCACAATTATCTCTGTCATCTCTCAGGACCATCTACCTGTGCCTTATTTCTCTATGTCTATCTCTATTGTCTGTGTCTCTATCTTTCTCTCTCAAAACAAAACAAAACTACTTGGCTTTCAAAGTATGATCATTACTACTTGCATATATGTAATTTTACATATACACATCATATAAATACAAAAATACTAAATTATACAAAAGTATATCTATATTGGTATACATACATATATGTATCTGTGTTGATAATGATTTGTCCAATTCAATAGAGCCAGTAGGTATAAGATATTGAACTCAGGTCTTTCTGACTCTTAAATCCAGCTCTCCACCTACTTCATGGTTTACATTATGTATTATATACACTACTCTTTAAGAATGAGGGACAAAGGGCAAACAACAGCAACAGCTTGCTAGCATAAATAATAAAATGATTAATTATTATTTATTTATTTTTGGCAACTGGGGTTAAGTAACTTGCCCAGGGTCACATAGCTAGTAAATGTCAAGTGTTTGGTCTGAGGTCAGACTTGAACTCAGGTCCTCCTGACTTCAGGGCCAGTGTTCTATCCACTGTGCCACCTAGCTGCCCCTAAAATGATTAATTACCCAGACACTATCCTTCTTGAACTTTTTATATGTCAGAGTAACTGATCCCAAGGGAATAGATTGGGTCACCGAGTGAGAAAAAAAGCAGAAAACAGCCCAGGAAAGGGCTTTAGGGTACACCCACAGTCAGGAGATATAAAGCAGATGAAGATTTGGCAAAAGATATTGATAAAAAGTCAGATGGCTTGGAAGAAAACCAATAGGGAGCAGTGTCATGAAAACTCAGAGCATCCAGGAGGATAGCAGTCATCAACATTATCAAATATGGCTAAGAGTTTATGAAGAATGAGGATTGAGAAAAGGACATGAGGTTTACAATTAAGAGATAATTGCTAACTCTGGACAAAGCAGATTTAAATCACTGTTGATTTAGGAAATCAGGTTGCAGAGGAGTTAAAAGAGAATGAAATGAGTAGTGGAAGCAACAGGTACTCACACAGTACCTCATGGAGTGTAGCTGAGAAAAGCAGGAAAGCTAGTCGGATGCGAGCTTCCATTGAGCTTAGATTTCTTTCTTTTTTTTTTTTTAAGGTATAGGGAGACTTGGACAAGTTTGCAGGCAGCAGAGAAGGAACCAGTTGATAGTGACAGACTGAAGATAAGGGAATAAGAGGGAAGGAAGGTTAAAAAACCAATCTTTTCAAGAATGAAAGAGGAAATGTGATTAAGGATACCAGTAGAAGGTTTAGCCTTGGTAAAGAGTAGAGTGACATCTCCATTAGAGACTAGAACAGGGTTCTTAACCTTCTTTCTGTCAAGAACTCATTCACAATCTAATGAGAAACATGAATCCTTTGTTTTAAATATGTTAAATAAAGTACATGATATGACAAAGGAAAGTAATTACGTTTAAGATACAATTGACAAAATTAAAAAAAATAAAACAAATTCATGAATCCCTCCCCTATGCCAGTTTAAAAATCTCTGAAAGGAAGGAGAAGTGACAGCAATGAAAGATAAGTGGTTTAGAGATGAAGAGAATGGGGAAGGGGGAGGAAGGTCAGCATATAGTCCCATTTATCAGTAAACTGGTATGAGGTGAGATCTTTAGCTGAGAGAGTTGGGGAGAGGGGTGATAGAGAGGCTTGAGGTCCTGTGAGAAGAAATGGAGGATTGTAAAGGCAATCCGTTTTACTTCTGAACAACTCTAGTTTCCCTATATATTCAAAAATCTACTTTTCAGCAACTTCTATCCATTTCTCCTAGTTCTTCCTTCTGTGGCTAAGCAGAACAAACCTAATAGCTTTGTGGCATAAGAGCAATATAAATACCTGAAGATTGCTACATGCTCTTTCTATCTGTCCCCTCACCTCAAAAATGTTTTCTCTTCTCCAGGAAAAAAAAAACATATCACAACTCCTTTCACCAGATCCTTCTTTGACATGATTTCAGGGTACTTCCTCTAGGTCGAGCTCCTCTGGATACTAGATTATCAATATTCTTCCCAAAATGTGGCATGAAAACTAAACAGAGTACTCTGGACTGTGGTTTAGCCATAGAGACAAGAGCAGGAAGATCACTCCCCTTGCTTTGGTCACTCCTAGCACCATGACAAATTGCTGACTCATAAGTAAATGCAACTAAAACATTTTTAGATGAACTGCAATGGAGCTGGACATTCCTGAACTTATACTTGTGAAGTTTATTTTTCTGAGACCTTGTACAATAATATGGTATGTGGGAGTTTATCTTTTTTGCTGATTTTACCCTGGGGTTAGACCTTAGCATCCTCTCATGTTGGAGAATTTACTTTTCACTGACTTCTTTCCCTTCTTTAAGTAGTTTCTAGGGGACCACAGGACTAGATCCAGCTAGATTCCCAAATCACTTCCTTTCAGACCTAGTAAAGCCATGTTGGCCCCTTTTCACAATTCCTACCATCCTTTAATTTACTGTAGGGCTAAATCTGTGTGTGTGTGTGTGTGTGTGTGTGTGTGTGTGTGTACACAATTAGGGGAGGTGGAGCGAGTGTTCCTTTTAGGTTTTCCTAAATTAAGGGGTCACTCTAGAATGAGGAAAACATAGTCAGTGTCTCATGTATTTTCCTTTCTCCTAACATGTCTGGTCAGAAGAAGCATTATCTGAAATGGGGATTGGCTAAACACCTTCCCAATAAGATCAGTGGTGAAGCAAGGATGTTCCTTATCACCGATACTATGCAACACAGTATTAGAAATACTAACTATAAGACAAAAAAAATCGAAGGAATAAAAATAAGCAGTGAAGAAGCAAAACTATCATTCTTTGCAGACATGATGGAATACCTAGAGAACCTTAGAGAATCAACTAAAAACTACTTGGAACATTGAACAACTTTAGTAAGGTTACAGGACATAAAATAAACTCACATAAATCATCAGCATCTCTATACTACCAACAAAACTCAGTAGGGAGACATAAAGAGAAATTCCACTTAAAATAACTGCAGATGTTAAAAAAAATGAGAGTCTACCTCGCAAGACAAACATAGGGAATATACGTACAAAATTACAAAGTATTTTTTCACACAGATAAAGATAAATTTAAACAATTGGAGAGTTATTAATTACTCATGGGTAGGTCAAAGCAATACAATAAAATTGACTATTCTACATAAGTTGATTTATCTATTCAGTGCTATACAAAATTACCAAAGAATTATTTTATAGAACTAAAAAAAATAACAAAATTCATCTGGAAGAACAAAAGGTCAAGAATATCAAGGAAATCAACAAAAAATGTTAAAGAGGCCCAGAAGTTGTTGTTCAGTCATTTTTCAGTTGTATATAACTCTTCATGATCCCCTTTGGGGTTTTCTTGGCAAAAATATTAAAGTGGTTTACAATTTCCTTCCCAGCTCATTTTACAGATGAGGAAACTGAGGCAGAGTTAAGTGACTTATTCATGGTCACATGAGTAACAAGTGTCTGAGGAAGATGAGTTTTCCTGACTCTATGTCTGGAACTCTATTAATTGTGCCATTTAGTTGCCTTGCAGTACCAGATTTCAAAGTATATTACAAAGTGGTAATCATCAAAACAATCTGGTACTGGCTAAAAAAATAGAATGGTAGCTCAGTAGAACAGATAGGCATCCAATACACAGTAGTAAATGACCATAGTAATCTAGTGTTTGATAAATTCAAAGATCTGAGCTTTTGGAGCCAGAACTCACCATTTGAAAAGAATTGCTGGGAAACCTGGAGAGCAGTTTGGTAAAAATTAAGCATAGATCAGATTCAATAATGTCAAAATGCAT